TCTATAATGAAGGGTGTGTGGTAAATTCACTAGAATCAGAAGCCCTAATCTCTATAATGTAGGGTGTGTGTTATATTCACTAGAATCAGAAGTCCTGATCTCTGTAATGTATGGTGTGTGGTAAATTCACTAGAACCAGAAGTCCTAATCTCTATAATGCATGGTGTGTGGAAAATTCACTAGAACCAGAAGTCCTAATCTCTATAATGCAGGGTGTGTGGTAAATTCACTAGACAGAATATCGATTTTTACTTAGTTGGTGGTATTTTATGCAAAGATTGAACAGCCTTAAAAGTCTATGGTTAAGCACCAGCAAGGAGATAAAAATTAGAATTTTGAGAGCATGCATCTTCCCTGTGGCTACATACGGATGTGAGTCGTGGACTATCTCCCAGTCCTTAAGAAAGAGAATATGGGCTTTTGAGCTGAAATGCTATAGAAAGATTCTCAGAATATCTTGGACAAAGAAGAGGAGAAATATTGACATCTTAAAAGATCTGAACATCAAGGAAGATTGGCTAATAAACAGCATCCTTTCTCGGAAGCTGAAATATTTTGGTCATATCAAGCGCCACAACGGATTGGAAAAAACTATAGCAGAAGGCATGGTACCAGGAAGGAGGGGCAGGGGCCAACCGACACGAAGATGGGCACAGGATATAAGTGACTCCTTGAGTATGAAGTATATGAGGCAGGAGAACTGGCGAGAGACCGAGTTTCTTTCAGGCAGATTGTGATGAGAGTGACGTTCTGCAAAGGACCTGCTACATGATGATGATAATGGTGGTATTTATTAACTGGACTTTGGAAATTCAGAAATGGTAGCTGTGCAATATCATTGAAGTATAAAGTAGAAGAGTGCCTGAAGGATACCCAGAACACAAACTTCCAACCTTGTCAGTACTAGTTGACTGAGTTTGTAGTTTGTTGAACTTGAGTTATTTAAAAGTGTATGCGCAAACTCATTGAAATACGAAATGAGGACATCCTTTTCCAGTGATGGAAGGTGCTGAACTTGAGATAAATAAAAGCATTACATTTGCATTGCCACTTCGTCATTTGTTTCCCATGCCCACATTATTTTCAGTATGTTCTTCTTGCAGTTAACCTGTAATCGCTCTGCATTCTGTGGATCTTGCAGATTTCTGTAGTTTGATTGTGTCATCCAGTAAGAGAGTAAATTCCTCTCAGCTGTGTGTGATCCTGTTTATAGTCTTGTGTTTTGCAGTTTAATTGCTATATAACTTATGAGTAGCTGGTGTCCATAAGGCTCTTCAGTGTTTTAAAGCCTGTTCTAAATCTACAAAAAGTCATTGTTCAGTCCTGTCCAATCAATAATAATCATCCTGCGGTGAACAGTTGTGACTTTCCGGGTGTTTGTTATTTTATTGTGGTTATATTTAACTGAAATATCGTATTGCCGCAGAATATCTCTCTTTGTCATATGTCTTATCTAGTGGCATTATTATAGTCCATTCTAAGTTCTCCCATTACATAATAGATTATTCTAAGTTTAGTAGGGTAGCTGCAAAAAGATTGTTACATTCCTTGATCTTTATACTAAGTTAAGATTGGCAGAAATGTAGTAACAGGTCCCTGGGGCTAAGCCATTTGCCCTGGTCTCCTTAGGCTGTGGGTTTGTTTCAGAGACTGCATTGCTCAGTTAACAAATGCAATTTAAAGAGATCCTTGTGGATCATCACTGGAGCTATGGAGTTTGTGCTTAGTGCGATGCTTATCTTAGGGGCTAGCTATGTGGGATATAAATAAGGTGTAGTGAAGTAAGGCCTCACAATTTTGTAGTTATTTAATTATATTTGATGTTTATTTTGTTGACTGTCAGGTCACCTAGGATTAAATGTGAGTGTATGTTTATTTCATTTAATGAGTTAAATATAATTTAAAAATAAACCCATTGATAATAAGATAAACAGTTTATGGTGATAAATTGTATAAGCTTGAAGTCTGTTCCACTCATTCTTGTCAGTGAAATATGTAATTTAAGCATCTGTCACTTAGTTTTTGCAACATTGTATGTCACTTCATATTTTAGCAAAGAATGCATCCTGGAAGTATTGTACACATATCTAGAGAAATACACTGGCAGTCACATAACATTTTTCTGTTGATGCATAAAAGCAACTCAGATGTTTAATTGTGTGCTCTTCATGTTACTAACAGCATTGTCTGCTAACCTAATGTTTCTGCTAACTTTAGATGTATTTTAAACAACAAAAACAAACTGTGTTGTCTGTTGTTGGTCTAGGGCAATATTTCCCAGAGTGGGTGCTGTTGCCCTCCTTCTTCTTTGGATTGTATGACATGTCAAATTTCACAACAATCAAATTCTGGACACCGCCAATCATAACCAGGATCGCCCAGACTGAAATATTTTATTCCAAATTCACCCAACCCATATTGTTAGAAAAAAGGTGCCCCCCTTGAATTATTAATCGTAATGTCAAGACTGTTGTCACTGTATGGCTCAGATTCATTAAAGACAGCAGCAGTACGGACAAATTCATTTTCCTATCAAATTAAATCATATTAAAGTGTCCACCCCGGAGCCACTTAAGTGGTCATTTGTCCAAACAGGATGGATTTGGTAGCCACTAAAGTGGCAGAATGTCTTCAAAGAATTTTTGTTTATAAAGGAAAAGAAAAAAGGATGCTCTTTACAGGAATAGAACTGATTCAGCTGAGAATTCCAGCCCACTATGGTTTCCTTAGAAATGGAAAGGCAGATGAACCGTGTAGACCACAAGGAATCTCATGCAGCTCCATCTGTTACAGGTTTTTAACATGTCAGTGACACTTAAAACAGTCTGAAATTAAAACAGGAGAGAAGATCAAAATTACAGACAAGAGTATGTTTTATGAAGTAAAACAGAAAGATGATGCCCCTCCTCCCCCTCCCCCCCCCCCCCCACCTCTCAAATTTAATTTCATCATTCCATTTGTTCAGTTACAGAAGGTACATTTCAAGGCAAAGTATAAGCTCCAGAACTTGCTGACAACTGGCAAAATTGATTGAAAGAGACTGGGGGAAATTAAACAGATAAATACCTTGATGGCTTGGCCACATACATAGGGCGGGACAAAAGCACTGACTTGATCCATCATTTTGCTGATCATATACGATGGCAAGTTATGACTGCCTATGTTTATCGACATGGCACATGATACTGATATTTCCAGGGCGGAGAAAAAGAAAATGGTGGGGGCTGAGCGCTGTTTTTGTTTTTTTAATTGAAAAGTGCACAGTAGACAAACAAATTTGGGAAACACTGGTTTAGATTATCTTTATGTAATAAAATATGTAAGGAAGGGATGATACATATTTCTTTGCAAGGCTTTATTACAATATTCATTGTTATTCCAGTAATTGGTACAAATAAAAACATTTTAAGATATTATCCTAACAAGTAAAAGTAGCTCCATAGCAGATACTGCAGTGGAATGTAAAAGTGTTAGGCCTTCACACTTTCTAGGCCATGACATGAGATCAGGGTGAACAGTTGTCTTCCTCATCACCTTTCCTTCCAAGATGTCTCCCAGAAATTTCTGAAACTGATCAGCTTACTCATTTTCTATGATGGGGCTTCAGATGAAATACTTAAAAGTGTGATATAAATTACAGTAACCAGCCCATTGTCTTGTAACCTCTCAGTATTGTTGTTGAGGATGTCAAGAATGTTAAGCATTTGACATTTCTGTGTAGACAAACACTGTGATGTCCTAATGATAGTCACTTTGATTGTTGTGCAATTTGCATTTATGTCTTGCTCTGTTTTTGATAATTGGCATATTCTGAATATTAATGTAGTATTGTGCTCAGAGTTTGATTGTTGTCTAGTGCTTGTAAAGGTAGAGTTGCAAAACTTACTTGTAGTTATTGTGTGCTGTTCTTTCACGTTTATTTAGTTATCTTATATAATTGCAATAAATGAAGGAACACAGATGTATGTGAACCATCACAAATGACTATAGTTTTGTGGGCAAAAAAGCCTTCAGCAAATAAAAACATTAAAAACGTGTTCAGGTTGATTTTAAATTACTCATGCCAGATAAGACAGTTTGAATATTTTTCATTAAAATAAGAGAGTACTTATCAGTTGGAGTCTGGTCAAGAGAAAAATCACTTTCTGGTTTGTTGTTGGCATTTCCTGGAGCTGTAACAGTGTAGTGGCCAGCCTGCTAACCTTCAGAGCTGGGGGTCAAGTGTTCAAATCATCAAGACGGGAATGTTTAAAGAAAAAAAAATAAACTCCAAGGCCAACCAACTGTTTACATAGTTTCTTACAAGTTTCCCTGAGTTGTGCTCAAAGAGCTTTTATGGAAATATGGCTGGTCCTTCACATTTAGGAAAAAACAACCAGAATTGTTGCTCTGCTATGAAGCACTGATACCCAGTTGTGATTCACTGCATTAAAATGTACATGTCAGCTACATGTCAGTGGGTAATGGAGCTTGATCTACATTATATAATTACAGTAGTGAACATTTAGTGTACATTTTGATATGCTGCTTTATATTATTGTTAAATGAGTGTGTCCACTGCTTGTAAAGCATTAAATAATGACCCTTATTCTGTCTACTAATCCTGGGTCCTGCTGCCTTGTGGGAGAGCATGTACAGTTTGGAGGAGCAGATGGATCACCACAGTCTGGTAGATTGATGCAGGGGGGAGTGATGAGAAGTTCTGGCAGATGCTCGAGGCTTAGAGGAAAGGCAAGACAGACGTTTAATCAGAATGCTACTGGCACCATTAGTATCGGAACTCTTCGCTGGCTGCTGAAGATGGGGGCGAAGCCCTTGTGGGAATGCCCCGAGTGCTGTGATGTGGGTTCTTAAATCAAATCAAATCAACCCTGGGTTTTCCTTTCTAATTCTCTTCTGTTTAAATTCATACATAATGACACTACTTTGCTATCCCAGTGTATTCTAAAACTCTGTTTCTATACATTCAAATATAAATGTACGTTGTGGTCTATTGACAGCAAGGTACTCAGAAGCCACACACTAAACTGGAGTTTGTGGAGGGCGTCCTGAAGCATCAGCTGATATTCTTGCAGGTTTGTGACCAAGTGAATTTAGGGTTTCATTTTGTTCATATTATTCTCTCATGGCTTTCAACAGTGGTACCAGAATCATACCCTGGGCGAGGTTGAGGCCTCACCACATAAATATCCCCATAGTTAGCAGTGGATACATTGGAGCCAGTCTGCTTTGTGGATGGCATCATTTTTATTTATTTTTTCTTTACACTGAGAACTTATTAACCTTATCAACTTGTGGTTTGTGCAGCAGAGAAGCTATCGAGCAAGTGTGGAAATACTATCTGTTTTTTAGAAGTAGCTAGACACAATGGACATTTTCTTATATTGTATTTTGTTACATATTGACATATTCATATATTGTAATTGTTTCCATCTTTTTTTAATTTTAACACTGTGTGTACAGTATTTGTGTCACAACAGTTACAAAAGATGTTCAGAATATATAATCTCATTAATTATTGTATATATTTTTTGTATTTATAGTAGTTGTATAGTTACTTTTCAAACACCTTGTGTGTTTACCCCTTTCATCGTATCAAAATCTTTAAAAATGACCTTTTGACAAAGAACGTTAAAAAGATACACATCGTTATAATTCCCAGAAACTCCACCATAAGCAAACTAGAGAAAAAAGAAGAAGCAAAGAAATGTGGAGTCCTGGTCGGTTTTCATCAAAATTAAGAGCAGACAGGCCCATTTACACACCATGCAGTTGAAAACAGTACAGAAGCTGTTATATAATTGTGACTGTCTAAAAGTTGTTATGCCAACAAATACAAACACAGGCTGAGCTCTCAGCACATTCACCATGACAAGGTTCAGGCTTGCTAAGTTTATCAGGAAACTGTTGTTTCATATTGATTTACTGACCCACTGGTGTGAACTGAATTGTCAGCAGTGACAGGAACTTTGCCTGGCCATTGTCATCCTTGGGATGGTTGTGTCAAATGACTGTTCTCAGATAGAAACTCTGTCAAAATCTCTTGTACGGACATCTGAGACGTCTACCATTTAATAAATGTTTACTTTTTAACAAAGCCAAATTCATTCACAATCCTACCTCAAATTATTTCAAATGACATTTTCTGGTTGATTTAGTCCAACCCTGCGAATAGCAAGCGACTTAGCTTATTACATTTGCCTAAACCTAGAATTTATTTATTGAAAACAAGATTAGCATATTCTCCTGCTCATTTATGGAACCATCTTCAATTTGATCTAAAAACTACAGACCCTCATTTAACTGCAGACTTTTTCATTTCATGATTACCAGTGATTATGTGTCACATTAAATGTAGTTAATGAGTCATATTACTTTATTAGTTTTTATTAAATATGATATGTATATATGTATGTGTGACATGTATATGTTTGTATATGTATGCACGAGTAGGCGTATGTATGAGAGTGTGAATAGATAATTGAATAAGTTTATGTGTGGTGTCTGTGTATGTATTTGTGGGTATCTCTGTGTGTGGCTGCATGGATATATGTGTGTGTGTCTGTGCCTTTGTGTGTGTATCTATATGTGTGTGTGTTTGTACATGTGTGTCTGTGCGTGTATGTGTGACATGTATGTGTGTGTATATGTATGCACATGTAGGCATATGTATGAGAGTGTGAACGGATAATTGTATAGGTTTATGTGTGTGTCTGTGTGGTGTCTGAATGCATGTCTATGTATGTGTCTGTTTGTGTATCTGTGGGTATCTGTGTGTGTGGCTACGTGTATATGTGTGTGTCTGTGTGTATGTCCTAGTATGTCTGTGTGTGTCTGTGCCTGTGTGTGTGTCTTTATGTGTGTTTGTGTGTATATGTGTGTGTTTATACATGTATGTTTAAGCGTTTGTGTGTTTGTCTCTGTGTATGTGTCTTTGTGTGATTCTGTGTGTATGTCTGTGTCTGTCTGCGTGTGTGTCTGTACATTTGTCTGTGTATGTCTATGTTTGTTTGTGTGTGTGTCTGTGTGTGTGTGTCTGCACCTGCATTTGTGTGTGTGTGTGTGGCTGTGTCTGTGTGTGTCTTTATGTGTGTATGTGTGTGTATCTTTGTACATCTGAGTGTGTGTAAGTGTCTGTCTGTGTGTCTCTGTATGTCCCTGTTTTTGAGTGGGTATATATGTGTCTATGAGTGTGTGTGTCTGCGGTTGTGTGGCTGCATTTGTGTGTGTGTGTTTGTGTGTGTGGCTGTGCATGTCTTTGTGTGTGGTGTGTGTCAGTGCATGTCTGTGTGTGTGACTGTGTGTGTGTATGTCCATGTTTGTTTGTCTGTATATACATATGTTACAAATTAGAAGAGTTTAAATACCTTTTTTTTTTTTTTGTTGACTGTCACTTTTAAGTTGATTTTAATTGTAAAGCAGAAATGAATAAAACAGGGAGTCCAGAGTTTCAAAATTGAAACAGAACTTCACTGGAATTCATTGTTCTTCAGAATCCTTTATTTTATTGCTGAACAATTTTTTTTTAATGTTGTTTATTTCTCTTACCAGCTGGCACCATCAGAGATGCAGATTGATGCAGATGACTGCATTATCTTCAACGATGGCACCAAATCTGCCGGATGTAGCCGCGAGGAGTTCCGAACTTACGTAAGTGTGCCCAATTGATTCCATCTGTAGAAAACAACAGGAACTTGCTCATAAGTGCAGTAACAGTTGTGTGTAGTGAGATTCTTGGTTACACAGAGTGATCTGCGGCTGTTCTGACATGTCACACTCGGTACATGTTCATATTATCAGCATATGGTGTGTGCAACAGTAATGCTAGCATTATACTAGCAGACAAGGAATACTATGTGATAATAGGTTTACAGTGTTGTTGTTTACTTTTGGGGATTAATATCATTGGACTATAGTTTTATTGTTATTATCATTTAAGCAGATCTTTGGCTCTCATCTTTTGCCCCAGTGTCATGCCCTGACTGAGAAAATGTGAGTGTTCTTTTCATAAAATGTTTGTTTCAACAGGTTTAGACACAAGTAATGATTTTATGATATCTCAGAGAACTGCGCACTGAAGTCAGTCTTGTAAGAATGTGTGCATTTAGTGGCTCGCAAATGTATTGTGGTTGAATACTATTTTTGTTTATGTCCAGTCATATATGTTGTCCATACATTGTAAGCTAATGCCACTGTTGGCCATAACACCTTATTGAATGTTCATACAATATATAGAGGGAATAATACAAACTTTTTTCGGTGGTTTATTCAAGGAAGAACATAGTGTCATATGTAATTGCATGTGGCTCACAACTTAGATCTGATGTGATACTATTACTGAACATATTAGGCAGTTTAGAACTGATGCAATGATACCATAACTCAGTACAATGGACAACTGAAATCTGATGATGTCCCATCGCTGAAGACATCGGACAAATTAGATCTGATGTGATGATACCATCACTCTTACATTGGACAGTTTAGATCTGATCTGGTGATGCCATCACTGAAAACATTGGACAGTTTAGATCTGATCTGGTGATGCCATCACTGAAAACATTGGACAGTTTAGATCTGATGTGATGATGCCATCACTGAAAACATTGGACAGTTAAGATCTGATCTGGTGATGCCATCACTGAAAACATTGGACAGTTTAGATCTGATGTGATGATGCCATCACTGAAAACATTGGACAGTTTAGATCTGATGTGATGATGCCATCACTGAAAACATTGGACAGTTTAGATCTGATGTGATGATGCCATCACTGAAAACATTGGACAGTTTAGATCTGATCTGGTGATGCCATCACTGAAAACATTGGACAGTTTAGATCTGATCTGGTGATGCCATCACTGAAAACATTGGACAGTTAAGATCTGATGTGATGATGCCATCACTGAAAACATTGGATAGTTTAGATCTGTTGTGATGATACCATCACTGAAAACATTGGACAGTTAAGATCTGATCTGGTGATGCCATCACTGAAAACATTGGACAGTTTAGATCTGATGTGATGATACCATCACTAAAAAAAACATTGGACAACTCATTGGGAAACTTAGATCTGAAGTGGTGGGTGCTTTAGTGAGTATGAGAAAATAACCTGTGACTACTCCAGGGCAAGCCGTTTTATTCCTTAGCTCTTCTGTAATCATGCCAATGGGATCATCAGTGGTACAAATGATGTAACAACAGATGTTAGTGGTTTCATCCCTGGCATAGTTGTCAACATCCTAACATCTTTACACTCTGTTCCCATATAACCACAAATTATACTTCTTAGTGTTGATGTCATTGATAGCAGTCCTCGGAGCTGTATTATTATTTTAAACATCTTTAATTACTGTTTACAAGTATCATATATCTAAATATTTGAATTACTTGTCCATTTGTAATTAACACTGGCTTCTCCAACAACTATTTAGTAATTCTAGGAGAATATGCACAATTAATGTTGATAGTTATTAATGCCATATAGTTTAGAGACGAATGTGATCTAGCGTTTCATTTTTTTGTTTTTAATCACATTTTTATTGTATTGGCACTTCATTTTTTTCAGTCCTTATCTATTTTCCCAGCTGTTTACTAAATTAGTCCTCTTGAAAATGAATATCTCCTTTTTATTATCCAGCAGTGATTCTTTCATAAATTGTTACAAAAGATTTGATTTCTCAATCTGAAATTACTGAAACACATCTGCTATCTATTCAAATTTTAACAGTTGATCAATTAGCATGAAATCTGCCTCAAATGTGATCTGTCTTCAAGAGGAGATAAGAAACAATCAGCAGTGGTAACATTACTATTGGAAATTACAGTTGGAATGTTTCAGAGGATAAGCAGACTGTTTCTGAAAGAATAACACTATTTTGAAAGTGTTTGTTTGTGTACCTGCAAACTGAGGATGCTTCATTTGCATGTTTGCACATAAACTGTTCTAGTTTGGATATTTTGCTGATAAATTGTTTTTCACTGCATCAACTAGACAGTGCAAGAAATTAAATTGTCAACATCACAGCATAGGTTGTGTGGCTTTATAATGTTCTGATCTTGAACTGTCTGGCTGCCGAGATAAGAAACATTTATTTTATCATGTAGCTATCCAGGCTCAGACAGTCTGATTACAGTTTAGTGCCAATGAAACATTGTCAAGTTTACAATTACTACGACTATACATTTTCAGAGTACTTATATTCTTTTTGATATATTCTTTCTATAATCTATTACAGTAGAATCTGTAAATTTGGAATTAATTGTTCAAGTGAATGTTCCCCATATTTTAATTTTCTTATTGTTGGATAATTTAATTTTTAATCAGAACTAATGTATGTTGGCTAGTTCCATTCCAGTCCCGATAACCTCTTCCCAACTGTTTGTAAGTCACAAAGCATTGATTCTTGTAAAACAACAAGCAAGAAATCATTCATAAACAATGTAACATTAATAATTAAACAGAGTACTGTAGAAATACATATGAAAATGCAGGATAAACTACCATTACTGACAAGAGATACTAGTATAGAGGGAGGGATATCACCAGAGGAAGCACCTGCCACAAAGACAGCAGCTAGTATCTATCCTGCAGGTGTTCACCCTCTCTCTCTCTCTGTGCTGGGGTCAAGAATCTGTTTTCTTGTCTTTCCCTACTTGTCAACTTGTTTTAGTTTGAAATCACATTGCCAGTTACAGGCTGTTGTTACTGTTCACTACATCCATATTATAGTGTCATTTCTGTGTTCTGTTTTATATATTTCAGTCCAGTAAAGAAACACTTTTTTTGATCTTTCCATCTCCAGCCCCATTAGCATCATCATCATCATCATCTCAGAAATTGGGATCTCTGCTAGGGTTTTTGCTTGTCATTCCTTGCTTGTGGCTCTCTAACTCTGCCATGTTTTTATTGTTAAATCTCAGACCTTGAGTATATTGTTGTACAATTCCACCCCTCCCATCTAGCTTTTGAGCTCTCAGTCTCTATCTTCTTCACAGTCAAACAGTTTCTTCCATCACAGTTTAACAGTTCCTTCCATCACAATCTAACAGTTCCTTCTATCACAGTCTAACAGTTCCTTCCATCACAGTCTAACAGTTTCTTCCATCACAGTCTAACAGTTTCTTCCATCACAGTCTAACAGTTCCTTCCATCACAGTCTAACAGTTCCTTCCATTACAGTCTAACAGTTCCTTCCATCACAGTCTAACAGTTCCTTCCATCACAGTCTAACAGTTCCTTCTATCACAGTCTATCAGTTCCTTCCATTACAATATAACAGTTCCTTCCATCACAGTCTAACCGTTCCTTCCATCACAATCTAACAGTTCCTTCCATCACAGTCTAACAGTTCCTTCCATCACAGTCTATCAGTTCCTTCCATCACAGTCTAACAGTTCCTTCCATCACAGTCTAACCGTTCCTTCCATCACAATCTAACAGTTCCTTCCATCACAGTCTAACAGTTCCTTCCATCACAGTCTAACAGTTCCTTTCATCACAATCTAACAGTTCCTTCCACTGTTTACTTTGAAACTCTTATACTTTACTACAAAGAGAATCCCACTTCCTGTTCTACATGTTCAAAGCAACCATCATCATCATCATCATCATGTAGCAGGTCCTTTGCAGAACGTCACTTTCATCACAGTCTGCCTGAAAGAAACTTGATCTCTCGCCAGTTCTCCCACCTCATGCACTTTCACACTCAAGTAGTCACCTCTATCCTGTGCCCATCTTTATGTCGGTCGGCCCCTGCCCCTCCTTCCTGGTACCATGCCTTCTGCTATAATTTTTTCCAATCCGTCGTGGCGCTTGATATGACCAAAATATTTCAGCTTTCGAGAAAGGATGCTGTTTATTAGCCAATCTTCCTTGATGTTGAGATCTTTTAAGATGTCAATATTTCTCAAAAAAAATCTTTGTCCAAGATATTCTCAGAATCTTTCTATAGCATTTCAGCTCAAAAGCCCCTATTCTGAGAGATAGTCCACGACTCACATCCGTATGTAGCCACAGGGAAGATGTGTGCTCTCAGAATTAAAGCAACCAGTAAATCTAAAGAAAGAAAAATCTCAAGAATTATTTTGGCTCCTTGAGCACATCAGATATGTGGTACTGGACCAATCAGTACTAGATAGGCTATGTGGTCAACATCACACAAGCAAACCAAAAACTGCTTTCTTGACATTCTTCACTGGCTTCTGATTGATTTATGAATGAGGTCAGCATGTTGTTGTTGTTATCGATCCAGTGAGGCATGAGCTTTCGCCATCTGGCCTAATGCCATGTAGTTGAATTTGCGCTTTCACAAGGTGTTCCTCTTGTCTGGTCTCGGAGGGAGTAGCATTCTTCTAGTCTCGCTGAGTTTTGGTCACTCAAAGAGATGTTGGTCAACAGTTTCGTAGAGTTAGTTACATAGCTGGCATTCTGGGGAGTATTGTGGCTCTAAGGTCACCATGTAACCTCATTGGTTTTTATTTGTTTTTAAATGCATTATCTTTTTAAAACACTATTACCAGCCAACTTAGTCTATGCTAAGAAAACTGTTTCCCTGTCTTTATTAGGCTGTGTCTTTTGTTGTAGTCTTTTGATTACATGGTCACTTTATATTGCATTTACTTTTCCAGTACAAAAACGGTTTATA